CTGTGTGTCTGTATGTGTTTCTGTGTGTCTCTCTGTGTCTGTTTGTCTCTCTGTGTGTCTGTGTGTGTCTCTGTATGTGTGTGTCTGTCTATGTGTTTCTGTGTGTCTGTATGTGTGTGTGTCTCTCTGTGTCTGTTTGTCTGTGTGTGTGTCTCTCTGTGTGTGTCTGTGTGTGTCTGTATGTGTCTGTGTGTCTGTTTGTCTGTGTGTGTGTGTGTGTGTGTGTGTAGAAGGCAGAATTCCCAAGGACCCAGGCCTGAAGTCCTTACAACTTCAGGAGGTGCCTTCCTTTAGGGGACTTCGAGATTCCCTGTCACGAGTGTGGCCAAATAGCTCCACAAAAGGCATAGGTGAACCTGGCCCACAGTTGGGGTGCAGCTCACTCCAGACGCACTGGCCTCAGCAGACATCTACATGTGCCTACATCGCCATTAGCTAAATATCAGCTGGTAGATGATCGGGACGCACCAGGATGCTGAACTCTCTTCCTGGTGGCCCTAGACAGGTGCTGGGGTTCTCTTTCCAGCCCGTCCTCACTTGCAGGATATCACAGCTCCAACCCGGCTGCATAAGAAACAAAGTGTGGACATTTGAGGAAATAAAACAAATGCCATGTTTCTTATCTTTATTTTATCTCTTTTTCTCTCTTTGACCAACACTCTTGGGTCAAATCTCACTAGGCAATGTCAACAGCCATTTCACCCTCTCTCCCAGTGCTGGCTCGAACATCACACGCCTGCTGCTGGCATCCCCCTTCGATTATGCTGCTGGCCTCGATGAGGTCTGGGAGTACAAGCTGCTCGTCTACATTACCGATGACAACCTGCTGTCTGGCAGGACAAGAGCCGAGGCTCTTGTTGAAACAGGGACAGTGACCCTCAGTGTTAAAGTCACTCCGCACCCAACCTCAATCATCACCGCAGTACACAGGGTGAGGATCTGGGGACCTGTAATCTCCAGCCATAGCCTGGGCGTTCATAGCAATGGAACCCTTGACCCTGAAGTGTGGGGCATCTGTTTGGAAGGACGCTTGATTAGTAGATGGAAATCTGTGTAAGAGCTTGGCTTGGCGCGTAGAGTCGCTGGCCTCTCACACTAGAGAGGAACATGTCAGGCGGGCTGTCGTAGAGCAAGCAGTGACCACTGTGGTAAAGAACACCTGGGGTGAGCAACTTCAATTACAAAAGGTTTTAGCTCATAGTTTCCAAAATTTCAGACCATAGGCTATGGGCCTATGGTGAGGGGGAACAGGGCAGAGGCTGAGGGAGAACAGGGCAGGGAGGGGCACTGGACGGTGACCAGCAGCTTCATTGCAAAAAAGATATACTTCCCCCTCTTCTTCCTGCCTCCTCACACATCCCCCTCCTCATAGAAAACTGCCTATGAATGAGTCGGTCATCTTCAAAGCAGCGAGTGCTCTTAACAACTATCCGTCTCTCCTGGTTCTCCTTTTGAGATTTTTATGACCATTGGTTTGTTTGGTTGGGGAGTGTGTGTGTGTGTGTGTTTGTGTGTGTGCGCGTGCGTGCACACGCGTATGTGTGTGGGGTGTGTGTGTGTGCACGTGTGTGCACGCGTGTGTGTTTGCATGCCTGTGTGTGAATGTATGTGTGCATGCATGCGTGCATGTGCATGTGTGTGTGGTGTATGTGCATGTGTGTGTGTGTGTGCATGCATATGTGTGTGCGCGTGTGTGTATGTGCCCCACATGCGTGCCACAGCTCACTATGGAAGTCAGAGGACAACCTGCAGGCGTCTGTGTCATCCTTGTACCAGGTGGGGTCGAGGAATCAACCCTAGGTCATCAGGCTTGGCAGTAAGCTCTTTCACTCACAGACCCTGCGGGGGGGTCACACTCAAACCATAGCAAACCCTAGGACTTTCACTACGGGATGAGCTGGCAGACTTATCCTTAGGAAGAAATTGCTAAGTCTCTTGGGTTTACAGCGTAACCCACCGTGACATTTCCAATTCTGAGATCTCTGTGGCTTGTTTGTTATCTGGCTCCCACTCCCTGTGATCACAGCCCACTCATATGGCAGTGGCAGTTGTGTCGAGTGAACACTGAAAAGCCTACAAGGTGTTAAAAACAAAAAAACAAAACAAAACAAAACAGCTTTCAAGGCTCCTGCCTTCCCAGCGAGAGACAATGGCTAAATTAGTCCCTGGATTGTGCTGAGCTGCAGCTGAGAAGTAGCTAGTGGGCCATTTCGGCAGAGGGGAAAGAGGCAGACAGTGCGCTGAAGTCAGGAACTGATCTGCAGTTCACTAATTGTTCTGGGTTTAGATCCAATGGATAGAAGGTAAACAAGGGGAGGAGTAGCAGGAACTACGAACACACGAATGTCCGCCTTCGCAGGACAGGGAGCACACAGCTCACCCATCGCACACGGGGTGCTGAATGTCAAAGACGCTCCCACCCTGCTTACTCTCCCCCTCTGTCCTCAAGCCCAGGATCACCTACCAGATCCTCAGGGAAAACACATACTCTTCGTCAGCGTGGTACGTGCCCTTCATCATCACTCTGGGCGCCGTGGTGCTTGTGGGGCTGCTGGGGTCCCTGATGGTGCTGCTGGTCAGAGCCATCTGCAGACATTGCTCCTCCATGACAGGGAAGGACAAGAAACACCTGTAAGTTCTGGTGCGCTGGGGGGCTCTCCTTGTTCTTTGTTTGTTTGTCTGTTGTACGGAGCAGGGTACGGGGCTTCAAGGAGAGACTAGGAGATGAAGGGAAGGAATTCCAGCTGCTCTGGGCCTGGGATACCCACTCTGTCACCTGTGAGGCTAGGACAATGGCTGGCTCTTTGACTTTCTCTGGTAATTTACCCTGGCCCGGGTGTGATCTGGAGAAAGTAAACTGTCACCCTCCTAGTGACCTTGCCCTGGATAAAGCCCCACTGTGGTAGCACTGGGATAAATATAGTGTGCTCTTCTTGGAGGGAAATTTATGGGCAGGCAAGAACTCAAAGGAAACAACAAACAACAAAAAACAGATTAGGAAATTAAGCTATGGGTACCAGTGACTCCCTTAGGCCTTTGTGGCGTTAGACCTCATCTCCCACCCTCTTGGAAACACACTAATGGCATGCCAGGTTTCTCTCCTCCCTGCTCATACTCCTGTGTGCCATAGACTTCTAGGACTAGGTTCATTCTTAGTAGCTCTCATAGCCAGAGCTCAACGGCTGTGAACCTGGTTTGGGGCACTGCTCAAGTTTCAGGTTCAAACCTGAGCTCTGTCGCTCTCTGGGAAGCTGGATTTGGGCACATGAGAACTCTGTTGACATCAGTGACCTTCTTTGTACAGCCAACCAACAAGTTAAGCAGAGGGAGCACTGGGTAGTGTTCCTGACCCCAGTAAAGATGTTTTTAAAGTTGCCGCAGTGTTAACTTCAGAGCGGAAACCCAGGGAGCTCAGAATTCTAGACCCCAAATTTAACCGTATGCCCAAATGTCCTAGAGGCTAGATGCACTGACTTCCAGGACCTCTCAGCAACAAAAAGGGATGAATGGTTAGACTCCAATGCCTCTTAAGAGTATTTGAATAATAACTATAACCATCAAGTAATTTTTGAGTGTGCAAGATGCCATAAAAGAAAGACTTTAACTTAAAGATGCGCATCACATTCCACCATATATATTGGGGAAAATTTGTACTCTTGACAACCTAGACTTCAGGCAAGAAATCCTTGAGCATCTGCTGAAATTTATAAAGACAGCTTTGTTTGTATTCTAGTTACAAATTGACTTTGAGAAAAACAGGAAAAAAAAAACTCACCCTGTTTCTAAAGGTGTCATATTTAAGCACCTAAGGATGATGGTGTCACATTGAGATTTGGATAGACATTCTTAAGGGATGTAAGCCAGATGGTGGAGGCACAGGCCTCTAATCCCAGCACTCAGGAGGCAGAGGTAGGCAGATCTCTGTGAGTTAGAGGCCAGCCTGGTCTACAAAGTTGCAGAGCGAGTTCCAGGACAGCCAGGGCTACACAGAGAAACCCTGCTTCAGAAAACCAAAAAAGAAAAAAGAAAAAAAAAAAGCTAAATCTCTTACCTCTCGAGAGGTAAGCACTGCAAGTTACATGCAAATTATAACTAAATGGTAAAATGGTAAATACGTATCTTGAACCTGGTTGTTCCGACTCAGATTCTAAATCAAGTTTTCAGCATGGTCCAACCTACAAGAGAAAACAGCTAGAAATTCAGACTCAGGCCCAGACTTGTAGGCTCTGAAAGTTAGTTGTACCATGTGGCGGCCAACGCTTATCAAATAGTGAGGAATAAAATTAGAATCATTGAATCCAAGGTTGCAGGAGACGGGCATTAGAGACCCAGTCCAGCTCTTTCATGTTACAGGAAACAGAAGTTAATTGTTGCCCTCCAACTGCCCTGCTGTGAGCCAAGTTCTGGGCTCCCATGGCTACTGGGGAGAAGAACGGGCAAAGAACAAGCTAGTGGTCCACTGGGTTGGTTCTGCCTTCCTTGGAGTCACTGTATTCCCTGGAGTTGTATGAAACAAGAGCTTCAAACTCCTAGACCCTCTATAATTCCAGGCTATCCCTTGCCAAACTGCGGTTCAGAGCAGGGCTAGTAGTCAAAACTTTTGGCCCCATCCCCAGCTTATTTTCAGACTGTAGTCCCTGAATCCCAGGGAGTCCAGCTGCTTAGAGTCCCTGTGTATTACACGTGTGCAGAGTCCCTGCATATTACACGTGTGCAGAGTCCATGTTACCACGTGTGCATATTTGTGTGGAATACTTTCCAGTCAACTAATGCCCATCCTTTCCCCCACAGGACAAAGAAGGGAGGTATGTACACTACATGTTCTCTTGGTTTGTTTGCTGTTCAATGCTTGCTCTGTTATACCGTAAAAGGCTTAAAGTTGGGTTTAGTCGGGGAATAACCATGTCCTGAATGAGGAAGCAGAGGGCATCTATGCTGGAGCAGGGCCAGTCAGGGCACAGGGTTCCCACTCACTTGGCCTTGCCTGCTTTCTGCACATGTGCGTCTACTCAGCTCAGTTTAGTGATCTAGGAGCATCCCCATGGAAACCAGTCCATCCACAGTGGGACCTCGCCCTGTGCTACCCATACCCAGCACTTCCTGACTGCTGCCCACAGACAGGGTGACAGCTCCCAAGGATAGAGAGCGCTCTGTCTTGAACCAGTGCCACTTCTGAAGGAGGAGTGACACTTTATTCTCAGATTGTAAAGGATTTGATCATTTTTTCCCACAAAATTCATTAGGTCCAACTAATTAATTGCTAAATTGAGCAAGATCTACTGAGAGCCTCGGGTCCAAGGAGAGATCTGTCTCATTCCAATCCTGGCCAAGAATTGTCACCTTAAGGTTACTCCAATCTATGGGGAGAGATAGGACATAAAATTGGAAATTCCATGTATTTTAAGCAATGTTTGCTTAAGTCACTCTGCCCATGGAGGTGTGTTAATATGCACAAAGCATAAATAGCAGGGTTCAGATTTTGCCTATAATAGTTATTGATCACATGGAGAGAAGCATCCTTATGGAAATGTCATAGATTGCCTCCAATCCTTTTATTATGTGTGACGGTTGCCCTGCATGTGTATAGGTGCACTGTATGCAAGCTCGATGCCCTCAGAGGCCAGAAAAGGACATTGGAGTCCCTGGAACTGAAGTAATAGATGGTCGTGAACTACCATGAGGGTGCTGGGAATTGAACCTGGGTCCTTTGCACGAGCAACACATGCTCTTACCACTGAGCCTTCTCTCCAGCCCCAAATTCAGTTACTTTTTAACCAGGATATAGGGAATTAATGTCAAAAATCCCTTGTTATAAACATAAAATTTTTTTATCTCTAAATCCATTTGGGAGTTAACTTCCAAGGACCCATATTAATAATCTGGGAAACCGTTTAAAAAATTAAATTGTGTGCTGTGCATAAAGGTGTAGTTTTCTGAGAAAACTAAAAGCCGTCATCAAATGGGTCCTTTGCTGTGTCTGTCTGTAAGGCTGAGATCAAAGCCTTTTGGGGAACCCACTGTGGGGTGGGACTTTATGTCGGGTACTATCTAAGAGGCTGCAATGCTGCCCTGTTCTCTTCTCTGCAGATAGGAAAACTGTGAAGAGGGAGGCCGTGGTGGTGAGTGTGGTCAGCCATGGGAACTTTCGCCTGGGTGCTGGTGGTGGTGTCCTGTCTGCTCCACAGAGTCCAGGCTCTGGAGCGGTGTTGCTGCCTTCTGGGAGAGGCTCATGCATCTGACACAGCTCTCTGCATGGCCAACTCCTGATAGGATTCCTTCCCTCACTGAGCATGTCTGCAGATGCACTTGCTCTGGGTTTCATAAATATTGAGGAGTGGTGTTTATTATCCGTTCCAGCTCTCCACAAGCGTGCACTGGGGGAGCAGAGCTTAAAGGCCAGAGCTGGTGCCGCAGCATTCCTCAGGATTTCATTGTTCTTGACTTTTCCACAACTTTGCCAGGGAGTGATAGAGAAAATGTAAAGCTTGCATCTGGGTTTGGTGCTACCTACCCCTTAGCCACATAATGCTGAGGACACCCAAGCCTTTGGAAGCCTTAGATTCCTCACCATGAAATGGGAAGGAGGTCACCCACCCTCAGACAATGGCTGGGGAAATCTCTTGAAATCAACCAGATATCTCTCTATGTGAAGTGCTCATCCTGGCTAGAACCACATCCTCACCATCTTACTTTGCTATCACCATGATACAACACCAAGGCAACTTCAAGGGGTTTATTTGGGGCTCACAGTTTCAGAGGGTTCAAGTCCATGACCATCATGGTGGGGAGCCTGGCAGCAGGCAAGCAATCCTAACACTGGAGCAGTAGCTGAGAACCTACATCTTCAGATACAGCCAAGAGGGAGAGAGAGAAGGAGGAAGGGAATGGAGTGGGCTTATGACGCCCAGTGACATATCTTCGCCAACAAGGCCACACCCCCTAGTCCTTCCCAAACATTTATGCCAAGTGAGGACCAAGTAATCAAACACAGAAGCCTGTGGGGGCTTCTCATTTGATCAGAAAACTCATCTTACTCTCTTTGGCTTTCTCTTACTGAGCCTGATACACTCACTGGGAGGAGCTAAAACGTGATAGCTTCCCTGATCTCCTCTGTTTCCCCTTGATTAACTTTAATTATGATCTAAGACTCTACCTTTGGTAAGCATGCATCATGAGGGGTCAGTGGAGCTAAAGGCCGATCCTCGCTTTACACTTAAACCTTAGTACGTCTACTCTCTGGTTTGTCTGCTATTGAGAGAAAGGAATAGCCCTGGGCTTCCAAGGTCTTATCATCTAAAAGGAACACCTAGGGTGCTGGGGGATGAACTCATAGACAGTCTTAAAACTGTGCTACATTGATCTGTTAAATAAGTAAACATTAAACATGGGGGCTTCTAAGACGATCTAGTAGATGAAGCACATGGAATTCTCATTGCTTCTCTTCAGCATCTGAGAGGTGGGGAAGTGGCCAGGTGACACCGGTAAGGAAGAGGTCACTGTGCTCGGAATAGCTTCCTGCTAACGTGCTGAGGATCTTGGTTTTGTCATTCTTTAATTGATTTTTGTTGAGTTCTACATTTTTCTCTGCTCCCCTCCCTGCCTCTCCCCACTCCTTCAGCCCTCCCCCAAAGTCCCTATGCTCCCAATTTACTCAGGAGATCTTTTCTTTCTCTACTTCCCATGTAGATTAGATCTATGTAGGTCTCTTATAGAGTACTCATTGTTGTCTAGGTTCTCTGGGATTATGATTTGTGGGCTGGTTTTCTTTGCTTTATGTTTAAAAACCACTTATGAGTGAGTACATGTGATATTTTTTTAGGGTGTCATGTGGTAAAAGGCTGTCCATGGGTTGGGGACAGGCACCTTCTGCAGAGCTCATCTCTGGAGAATAGTACACAACACCGATCATGGAGGGTGGGCCCTAGGGAAGCTAGCTGCAGCACTGTTGACTTTGGGGGCGAGGTAGGTAGCTGGAGGTAAGAACGCCTGGTTGGGGTGCCAGGTCCCAAGGTAAACACTCCTGTGGACATGCTTCCGTGTCTGCCTGACAGTGGTATTCTGAGATGCTGTAAGTCTTAGCCCAGGGCACTTAGCATTTTGACTCTCGCTTTTACACAGTTTAAACAGCATCTTCTCAGGACTCTTTCCTAACCCACAGGTCTGGATTAATTGCTCACTGCCTGTGTCCCAGAGCATCCGACAGCTCTGCTATCATAGCGTTGTGTCTTCATTGTAGCCCTGTTAGTCAGTGACAAACTATGGAGACAGACGTACCTGCCTGGGTCACCCTGGTGTCCCTAACGTGTGGCCCAGTGCCTGTTGAATTATCGGTGTCCCAAAGCTTGAGCCAGGAAAGTCAGGTGTAAATGCCTGCAGTCCCAGCAACCAGCAAGAGCAAGGGGTTGAGAGCCGACATGGCTACACACCCAGCTCAAGACTAACCTGGGATTAACCTTGTCTGGGGGGAAAAAGTGATAAATGAATAAAATAAAATAGTGAAAGAAGCCGCGAGCAAGGAGCGCAACCCTAAGGGTGGGTGGCCTTGCCTAGGGACATCCGCAGCATTGTGCCTGAAGCAGTCTCTTCTCCTTAGGAATCTGTCAGGATGAATACTGTCTTCGATGGAGAAGCCACAGACCCAGGTAACCAAATGCCACCTGTGAGGATACTTTGTGCTCTGGGACAGGAGTTGGGAAGTGTCCACTGGTCGGCACCTTGGCCACGTGGTCTGTAGTGTGAGGCTGACCCTTTTAAGTTCTAACATGGCTAAGCTGGGCGCTGGGTGCAGCGGGCGTTGGGGGGGGCGTGGTGGGTGCTGGGTGCAACGGGGCGGGGCGGGGGGGTCACAGACGTGCAGACCCAGATCTCCCATGATGCCTCAGAACCCCCACCTGCTGCTGCTCTCCTGGGTGTGATTTCTTCCTCTAGTGCCTGTTTACAAACCAACTTAGGAAACCAGTGAATTCAAAAAGGCCTATGTCCCCTGCCCACTGATCCCCTCTCACCTCCAGTCTTCACGACATGCTTCTAGTACCGACTTATTAGTAGCAGAAATGGCAAGTTTGGCTCCTCCATCCCCAGATCAGGGCCAAGAACTTCTTGGTTGACGTGATGAACATAAGGTAAAACTGGCCTCCAGAGCCCTCATTGCCCCCTGAAATCGGCTCCAAATTTAGCTCCTTTACACACATCCCTCGCTTACAAAGGCTCAATTATAGACGTGAATAAAGGGAGGGGAAGGAAATTCAGGAGGCAAGTGTGCTGGCTCCCTGCCACCCTCCTATGCAAACGGCTCCAGTCCTCGGAAGGAGGATGGCTCCTCTCCAGTGAGAAGCTGCCGCTGTTGGAATTAGATTTCCCTCTATTATTAGGTACTTGTTACCATAATGTGCCCACATTAGCATAAGTGCTGGTGGGATCCTGAGCCGGGAGAGGCCACTTGTGTTGTATTGTGGTGGCAGGAGCCGGGCTTGCCTCAAACCGAAGCTTACAAGGAAAAAAGCCAGGGAAGCCTTGTGCCATTCCTCTATGCTAAAGAGAAGAAGAAACAGGGAAGAAAGGAGCCAACCAGCCCAATGTGAACCAACACATCAATTAGTGTCTGCTGGCTCAAACACAATGAAAATGGTTGCCTCTCCTCATCCCCAGCAGGACCAGATCAGTGTCTACACTCTCTGCCAGCCTGGCATAAATAAAAATCAAAGGCTGCCGCCCTTACTTAGTGAATTCCTTTGTATGACGAATCCAAGGGTCTTTTAAAACAAAACAAATCAGATCCCCATGGGTAACCCCGTTAGAAATCAAACCCGCTCTATGTGATAGACACAGGACCTTGGAATTTCCATGGTTCCCTCATCTCACAAGGGAGACAGTGAAGAGCCTGCCAACCTTCCCATCCCGAGAGGCACTGTGTCCCAGCCGCACAGCCTGGGGGAGAGGCAGGCCTCAGGAGACTGTCTGGGTGCCTCACATCTTCTGGCCTCCCTCATCCTTCCCCAATCATCAGAACAGAACGAGGAGAAGTGAGAGCAAGCAGAATTGTTTAACTTTTTGTTTTATACGATTGCTGTATTATCTACCCATAGTGACTATGGAAATCTATGAATTCAACTCAAAAACTGGCGCCAGGAGGTGGAAAGGCCCATTAACCCAACTGCCCAACTGCTCGGAGCCCGGTCCCCAGCCCGGAGGCACAGTTGCAGGAGGGCAGTAACAGGTGTGTGTTTGCCAGCGCCTCCTGAGGAACAGGGGCAATCCTGTGTGTGGTGGGGTGGGGAAGCACCTCGCCTGAAGTTGCACAGGGACAGTAACAGGTTTTGGTGCAAGGGCATAACCGTGACAGAAGGAATTCAGACACCCAGGGTCCTGAGTGGGGTATCTGGCAAAACAGTTTAAATATTTCTAAAATGGGATTTGATCACACAATGGCCTTGTTCTGAAATGGTACTGAAACCTTTTCTCTCTAGGTTCACATCTATCTGTGCTCTTCGGCTGAGAGTGCTGATCTATGCAGGCCAAGTTGCCCCTACGTGCTCTTAGCAATGGCTGCCAGGAAACCCTTTCAGCTCAACCCCACAGTTTGCTTCTCCTAATACACCCATCCTTGTGCTCACTGATAAATATAGCTCAACGCTGTACACGTTTGTGAGAGACCACGAGTTGTTTTTGAAAGACATAGATGAACACGGTGAGCCAATCATCTGCGAAGGAGTATGACGTCATTCTCTTATTTTACTTTAATTTTATTTAGATGCCTCTTGCATTTGACAAACCATGCAGACAGAGCTGAGGAGTTCACCCTGATAATATGCAGGCTTCTCCCAGAGACAATTACTATCCTCTTCATCATTGTGGACTAGTTTTACCTTTTAAAAACTCATAAAAATGGCTTTCCTTGCTGAGTGTCATGTTTGGGGGATCATCATGCCTCTCCCAAGACTAATCCAGTTCTCTGTCTGGTGCCCTTGTATGACTTTGCCCCAGTTGGATGAGGCAGAGCCATGCTGGACACGGACACGGCGTTCTAAGGTGGTAGCTCCAGGGTACACTCCGGCGACAGACACTGAGAGATCCACTTGCTCTGCTTCCTTACTGACTCTTGGGATTGTCAGTCCTGTTCATTTTAGCCATTTGGATAAAGAGGACCGATGAAATGAAATGCATTTTCTCAAAGTTGAGATAACATCAGTCTGAAATAATACAACTCCCGCCTGCTTCTTCCCACGTCCTGTCATGGGGTCTAAATGTAAACACACGGGGAAGTGCTGCCCAGGAGGAGACCTTAAACTCCCTGCTGACCTGAGCACCTAAAGTGACAAGATGGGACAAACAGGAACTTCACAGTTGAAGAGCTGCCTGGGCCTCAGCTGCCCTCTGTGCGCTGAGATCTTAGTTCAGTTACTACCAAGAAGGGCCAGTGGGATCCATCATAGCACCCCCCCAACCACTGAGGAGACCCCCGGAGAACTGCCGCAGAAAATAAAGACCTCAGATAGCTCGGTGGCTGGTCTCCTGTGCCCCTGACCAGTGCAGTCTCTCTGAATAGTCAGACATTAGTGAAAATGACTTAGCTGGAGATGTGGTTTATTAATAACACTGGGCTGCCAGGAAACTCCCATGAATGGGTAGAAAAGAAGGCTGAGCCATTCCCTTGTGGGGCTGAGTGGGTGAAGTGGCTGATTACCCACTTCACAGTTTTGAAGTCTGTGGATCTCCATCGAAAATGCCTCCTGCAGAAGTCCTCAGTGTCCATGTAAGTCAAATGAAGTTCTGTGAAGGTGTGCAGGTGGCCACCGGGTCCTTCACTACAGCTCACAGGGCCATTTAAGATTAGGGAAGGCTGGGTGTGGGGAGCTCTCATTCTTCCCCTAGGCCTACAGGTGGAGACTGGGCTCTGAAAAGGCTGGGAGCTGTGTGGAGAGCTGGTTGTCTCCAGGTGAGCCCAGAGGAACCCAAGGAATGGGGCAAGAATGGCTAGAAGCTTCACAGGCAAGCACAGCCCTCCCCAGGGCTGAGAACCCAGGGGGCTGCCTTCAGTTTGCCTGACTGAGAGTTGGCTGCTGCTGAACTGTCCCATTGACAGTTTTTGTTGTCGTTGTTGTTTTTGGTTTTTCTCTGAAGCTTTGGAGCCTGTCCTGGAACTAGCTCTTGTAGTCCAGGCCGGCCTCAAACTCACAGAGATCTGCCTGCTTTTACCTCCCGAGTGCTGGGATTAAAGGGATGTGCCACGACCACCTGGCCCATTTTCAGTTTTTAAAAACTAAAAGTGAATTAACCCAAGCATAGAATATCCTTTGTAACCCAGAACCTCTGTGTGTGTGTGTGTATGTTGTGTACACTCACACACACACGCACATGTACTTATTGAGGATCCTTAGTCAAAAAGTAGTGGAGATGCCCAAGTGGAGAACCAGCCTCAGGTGACAGGGCCATGGCAATGTAACTAAATCCCCACGTGACTCTTCTGTGAATAAATCCCATGGCCAGTGGACTTTTTAATCTGGACCCCAGTAAAGAGTCAAGTGGAGAGGGAAAGGAGACTCAGAATACCCAGACTTTCCTGTGTGACGCCTGCACAGGGGACAAGCTGTGACATTTACTCTAAGGCAGTAAGCCAGCTCAGAAGACGGCTAGCTCACAGGGAGCTTGGTGTGGTGGTGAGCTCTTCCTCAGGAGGCGCCGTGATCTCATCAGTTGGAGCTGTGGAGAAAAAGATGGAGCTAGAGACAGAGTCTCTTAGCATACAGGGATATTTTTGCTGCACCACCTAAAAATGAATCGCTTTAGCTGGAATATGAAACAATGGATTTCTACACTGGGGAGGGTGAAGCAGGAGGACACTCTGACTTTGAGGCCAGCCTGGGCTAAACTGTGAATTCAGGCCAGCCTGAGCTAGAGTGTCGGTCTCCGTCTTAAAAACAAACCAAACCGAAGAGGCCACAGTTGAGCCTGACATTCCATGCATGTGTCCTTGTCCTTTGCTTGAGTTTCTCTTCCCCCCACAAAAAAACACTACCCTAGTCCTTCCTCCCCTCAAACTCCTTTCTTATCACATGGATGCTTTTGAGAACTGAATGAGGGCTGGAACTGAAGAGGTGTTCAAGGTGGGGAGAAATTAAAGTTGGGTGTGGGGGGGGCGTTTCGAGCATGGATCAAAGCACTGAGCCTGCCCTTCAGTCCATTTTCAGGCTGCCCCTGTGTTGGGCAATCAGGAGTGGTCACCACAGCAGGTAGCAAGCTCTCAGCAAACGTTTGTAGGGCTGGGCTGAATTAGGTCGACTTGAGGTTCATCTTTTACCCACATATGGCAGTCACAGCTTTTCTGTCTAGATCGAGATCATAGCCCCATAGTGAACTCACTGCCAGCAAGTGTCTACCAAGTACTTGGCACTATTCTGAGCTGCAAAGACGTAGTTCAGGCATAGCAGTGAACAGAGCAGTGTTCTCTGTGTTCTCAGGAGGGGTCGGAGGCTGGACATTTAAATAATTGATGGCCGGGTTATATAGTTGGTGCAGGAGAATTATCTGTATTCTGTCAATCATGTATTTTAATAAAACGCTGATTGGCCAGGCAGGAAGTATAGGCGGGAAAACCAGACAGGAAGTAGAGGCGGGGCAATGAGAATAGGATAAGGCTAGGGAGGAAAAAGCTCCCTCAGCCACTCCAGCGCAGACCACTGAAGAGGCAGCATGTAACTTGCCCAGCTGAGAAAGGTATGGAGCCCTGTGGCTAATGTAGATAAGGATAATGGGGTAACATAAGTTATAAGCGTTAACAAGAAGCCTGACCTAATGGGCCAATCAGTTTATAACCTTATGGAGTCCTGTGTGTGATTTCTCTTTGGGATTTGCCGGCTGTGGGGTACCGGACAGGACGGAAACCCCAACAAGCCGGCCCCCTCATGTTACATATAGTAAAGTAGTTCTGGCCCACAGCCTTCCCAGGAAAGTACCTTGTTCACCACCTCCTCAGCCCAGGAAGCTGAATATCAGGGGGGTCCCCTCGCCATTGGCATCACAGTCTACGAAACAATGGGCCCCAGACGGCTCTAACTTAGGACCACTCAGAGAAAAACAAAGACTCAGCAGTGACAGACATCTTCTGCTTTCAGCTAGCCTGCCCACAGCTCCTCCAGGGCAGCAGCCTCGAACCAAGGCAACCTGAAGAAACCTTTCCGTTTCCATCACAGAGTGGACAAGTCCTTGCACGGTCTTTGCTGCTCCCTTGAGACTTCATCTTTGTTTGCTTCTGCTGAGATGATAGTGAAACATTTGATATATAAATGTGGTAAAAACAAAATTACACAGTGTCCAGATGATAAGTTGATGGTAGTGCACACCCTTGAGGAGAATAAGCAGGTGCTGTAGTGGACCCAGAGGACAACTCTAAATATTAGAAGCTCGGGGAAGGCCCACACAGGAGGGGAGACTCCAACAGTGGAAGCGTGGGTCGGACCATTCAGATATCTGGGAAGAACCTTACGGGCAGAGAGCAGCAGGACAAGGGCAAGCTGCGGGGTACATGTGGAGGCAGGTGTACTGCCTGCCTGTGCTACGTGACAGTACGGCACTACTCCTGTATTGTGCCACCTGCACTACAAGACCATCCGCGAGTCGGGCAAGGGCCTGAAGATTTAAACACACAAAGACACAGAGACACGGATCATCCTTGATGCCAGAATCCTTGAAACAGGAATGTCCCCCTTTATTGTGTACCAGAGCCGCTTATATATAGATCCTTAACTGATAGCCACGCCCCAGACAAACTCACCAGAAACCACTCCCCTGCCATCAGGAACTCCTGAGGGTCTTGTGCTCAGAGCAGCTGCAAGCATTACAAGTTGCTTACCAGAAATTCAGGATCTGGGGTGTTCACAGTTCCCAACAGGCAGGTATGTCCATCTGTCTGTCTGAGTGTTGGGGACATGATGTCATAGGGATGCAAGGAGGATCACTCATGGTGAGGGCCTTGTGGACTGTTATCGTGGCCTTACCTTCTATTCCAAATGTAACGGTGACGTGAGAGTAGACTTAGGAGATCAGGGGCAGATGCAGAGTGAGAAGACAGTGTTGGCTTGGGCCCGACAGCAGGAACTGGGGTGCTGAAAATCTTACAACTCTGTTTGTGAAGTAGGGTCTCAGGTAAGAATAAGTTCTCGGTTTTCCTGGGCCCTGTTCCTGTGTCCGGCAAAGGGTCTCCCGTGGAGTAGGCTGCTCCCTTGGTGGGGTCTCCCCAGGTTACTTAAGATTACACAACCACTTCCCCTGAGGGCAACAGCTGGCGTCTAGCCACCATAGCTGTTGCTCTTGGGGGTGTATTACAGAGCAGGAAGCCCTCAAAGTTCCTGCCACACGGGATTTCCTCCCAAGATTCTAAGCAGTGCTACCAAGAAGCCAAGAGACGAGCTTAGACAGGACTTCTTGGTCAGAATTCCGCACCTGTCTGCAAAAAACGCTACAGGCTCCTTACTCAACCCAAAGTACGCTGTGTGTTGGATCAGCTCAGTGCGGAAAAGCCTGCCTCCCACCAGGGACCTGAGTTACAAGACATGTAACTTTCCACATGTCTCCACGTAAGTTCTTTGGGAACTAGTACCCCCCATCCTCCGTCTTCTTGGGCACAAATTAGAATGGTCACTCCTGGTTGGGGGTCTGGAAAACCCAGAATTCTTTTCTAGAAGTCTTGAGGCCAAGGGAAGCCAGGCATGCTCACAAGCTTTGCCATCTTTCTGCGTGGTTCCAGGAGGAGGGCAAGCACCCTGCCGCCCAGCCCTGGACCTCCGCATACTCAGGCCTTTAGATTGTTGTGTGACACCCTGTGTCTGTTCTGCCACCCTCGGAGCTGGCACAGCTGACGGAGGGCAGCTGGTTAATCTGATTTGTAGGCAAA